GAATAGCAAGTTTAAGTGAAAAATCACACATGTACTTACTTTTAATTTCATTAAGTAGTGCGTCTGTTCCTGGCTTAGGCTTGCCGTTGATAGGTAACTGATGAAATTGCCTATTTATGAAGTCCCACAATGCAGCGCAAGGCGCAGCGTAGGCGATGTTGAAAACATTGTATGCTTAAAAGCATAGAATATTCACAGCTTTAATATTTTATTTTGTTTTGTATTTTTATTAAGCAAATCCCTTTTTAAAATGTTTAAAATTATATTATAAGTCTCACAGCAGCCAGCAAGTAATTCCGCAATGACACGCGATACATAAAAATATGATGAAATATTAAACTGCCGGTAATTTAGTATATTGTACGAAAATATTTGTATGTTGTACGAATTTAAAAAACATGTTTCTGCATTAGTACTTTATACGAAAGTATTAACTAAATTGCACGAATACAGAATTGTAGATTTCGTAAATTTTAAAACCATACGTAAATATTACGAATGCCTTCCTACAATATACAAAATTATTCGTACAGAGATTTGTTCAGTGCTTTACGAATGTGTTTCGTAAAATAAACGTAAGATTTCGTAAATTGTACTGAAAAAATGCCTTACGAAAGACCTTTCGTTATATTTACGAATGGTTCGTAAAATCTTGTTTCGTTGTGAAAAATGTGTTCGTATTATGAACGAAAGTTTCATACATTGTACAAAAACCAAGACTACGAATGTTTTTCGTAGCACTTTTACGAAATTTTATTTTCAGTGTAGGCTTAAATTAAAGCTAGAACTACAGACTAGAGCTGTCAAACGATCGATAGTGGGGCCACTCGATAGTTTACGATAGTTTGGCTGCACTATCGATACTATCACTACTATCGAATTTTTTTTTACTATATATTAAGCATATTTTCTTTTATTTCTATAAGTGTACAGCAGATGCGGATGTGATTTTCCAAACACATGTAATTTGGCTTCAAAATGCTGCTTGCTGCGACGTCGACACATTTATACTATCATCGTCTTCGTGCGTCTTACGGTAATTGACGATTGACTGATGCTTCGCTGGTATTTCGGCAAAGCAAATCAAATCAGTTGCTGTTGAGAGTGTTCGGACGCAACAAATTTTATTAGTAGTAAATAAGCATGAAAAATTGTGGTACATTCCAAAACAATGTGGTAGATTCAAATAAATAAATTTATAAATATGTTATATGCACTTGTGGTCAGCTGATTAACTTAAGTGACATTTTGACCAGTTTTGGCTATTTATATTTTTTGTTTATTTAATGTTTATCTTTTTTATGCTGACGGTGCTAGGCATTTTCTTCCACAGAAAAGAAATTGCCAATTATTAAAAACCAACGCGATTTCTTAGCGCTTGAAATTTGCACTTTGAGCTACTAAATTTTAATGGGCTATAAAACTGCATACCTAATACTTTTCCAGAAATTCTAAATAAAAGCCAAAGCGACAGAATAAGATGCTTTTTTTAGAAATGATCTATAACTTTCTGATAGAAAATAATTTTCTCATAGACAATACTAATTTTCGTGTTAATGTATATTACTTTCACCAACAATACATTTAATAAAGAAATCGATCACCCTCTTTCACATTTTCACAATGACTATGACAAAGTTTGTAATGTCTTTTTAAACAAGACATAACATTTCGACTCATAACGCAATAGCAGATCACGCAGTGCGTATTATTCGAATAGTTGCGCAGTGAAGTCTTCGCAGTAACTTATTTGATTTGCTTTGCCGAAGTGCTAGAAAAGCATCAGTCAATCGCCAATTATCGTAAGACGCACGAAGACGATCATTCATACATGTGTCGACGTCGCAGCAAGCAATGTTGTTTTTATACCCGAGCGCACTTGTGCACAAGGGTATTATAACTATGTTCACATAACGGTTGTTTGTAACAGGCAAAACGAATCGAGATAGATATAGACAAATGTATACATAAATGATCAGAATGAAAAGAGAAATCGATTAAGCGGTGACTGTCTGTCCGTCCGTCCGTCTGTGCACACGATAACTCGAGTAAAAATTGAGATATCTTAACGAAACTTGGTACGTGAACTTCTTTTGGGCGTGGGACAGATGGTATTGAAAATGGGCGAAATCGGATAATAACCACGCCTACCTCCCATATAACGGTAATGTTAAGAAATACGAAAACTGCGATATTTTAGTAACTACTGAAGATAATTCACTCAAAATTGATACTTACAATGAGTTTCAGACGGAAAACACGAATATTATAAATTTTTGGAAAATGGGCGTAGCCACGCCCACTTATGGTTACATGTGTATATCTTGG